TTGTTTTTAAGAGATCCTTTCTTACCTTTTCACTAGCTGCACCAGCATCTTCAAGATCTGAAACTCTGTCTTCACTTTCACTTAAACGGTTTTGCAAGCTTGTGATTGAGGTTTTAATTTCCTCTATATCTCTTTGACTCTGCTTCATGCAATCTTTTTCTTTCCTGTATTGCTCATTCAAAGAATCCGTCGTTTTTCTAATCTCTATTTTTTTTTATCAATGTCTTCTTTAGAAGCAGTTATAAATTCTTTTACTTCAGTGTTTTTTTCAGATCGGGTTTCCTCCCTATGTTTCTGTAGTTGATTCTTTACTTCAGATGCTATGAGTTCTGAGAATTCTTTTTTCATTTCAGAAAAGAATTCCACTCTGAGTTTCTCTATGACTTTCTGCTGTTCCTTATTTACTATTGATGCTATTAATTGATACATTTGAGCTGAGCTGGTGTCCTCTGCATTTGTTCTGGATGGGCATTGGGGTTCCTCCATATGTTTCTGCATTTGATTCTTTACTGCAGATGTTATTAATTCAGGGATTTCTTTTTTTATTTCCAGTCTGAGTTCCTCTATACCTTTCTGCAGCTGTTTCTTTATGTCAGAAGCCGTTGATTCATTGCTTTCAGCTGTATGATTCCCAATTTGTTCTGTGTTATTGTGCTCTGCACTTGTTATGGGTGGGCTTGGGGTCTGAGATTGCATTTTGCTCCTTCTCGTTGTCATTTTGTGTAGCACTGTCTTCTGACCTTTGTTGTAGATCTTTGTTGCAGTTATAACCTTAGCACCTACTGAAATTCAGGTGCAGAGCTACAAAGTTTGGATTTATCCAGCTGTGCCTGACGGGTCTGGCTGATGTGCTCAGCTCCTTCCTGCTGCTGCCCTTGAGGGTGAACCTATTGTGCCCCTCTGGCAAGATGTTCTGCTCCTGGACTAGCTGGGTGTTTCTGTCCCCTACACTCTCTGCAGGGATTGTAGCTGCAGGGTTTCACCCCAGGCCTGAGGAGACAAGGTGGAGGGCAGTAGGGGGGAGAGGCAGCTCTCCCACACACTCACCAGGCCTAGACTAGGACTGGATCTGGGGGTTCCCAGAACACAGCAGAAATTCCTACTGGGCAGGCGGGGTAGGGGAGGTGCTGCGGAGTGGTGTGGGGCATCCCAAGGGGGTGAAAGAGGGTCTCACCCAAGCTGCACCTGAGCTGGGACCAGTACGTCCCGCCAGCACAGGGTAGCTGGAAGCTGTCCCACACACTCACCAGGCCTGGGCTAGAACTGGGTTTCGGGGTTCCCGGAATGTGGCAGAAATGTCTACTCAGCGGGTGGGGTAGGGGAGGTACTGCGGAGTGGTGGAGGATGTCCCGAGGGGCTATGTGTATTCTCTTTAAGCCGTACTGCCTTCTGCATTATTTTATAATGTTTAAGAGATAATGTCTCTGCAATACATCATAAACAACGGTAGGCAACCACCAGGCCATTCAGGCAGACATTTCTTTACCTTCTACAGGCTGTGAACTGTACTTCCTGCTGTTTCATACCAGTTTCTCTGGAGATCCAGGTGTTGTGGGCATATGTAGGCCTTCAGTCCAACCCACAGGCTCACGTGTCAGGGGCACGATTCCTATACCAGTGCAGGTCCATACAGGTAAGTCATGACTTCTAAAGAACCGCTAAGGCTTACTTAGTCTGTATTGATTTATCAAAAAATTGATGGCCTGATAGTTGTTTAACTTCTGAGGACTATTTTATGTCACCACCCATTGTTGGTGTAGAGCAAGTTGACCTAGTTGATTTTCAAGAATCCTCCCTACTTGCCTATTGAAGTTTATGTGTTATGGTGCATACAACTGACAGCTGTTTCTTTCCATTGTTGTTTAAATTCCTGTCCCAGATTACAGCAGAGGATAATTTCTTTTAAATAATTTTACTACTCTTACTATATTGATCGATTGATTGAACCACAGAACACATTTTCTGTAAGTTTGAGTTCACTGTGACAGTGACACAGAGTCTCTGATCTTATAGATTCCATTAAAATTACTGATACAACTAGTTTGTAGTCACCAGTTCTTAGTTCTTTGTATTCTAGTAAATAAGTACCTTAATCTATAGTAAACAGATATGTTTCAACCTTAGCTTTACAAATTCAAAAGTATGTTGTTTTCATTTTACCTAAAAATGACTAGGTCATGGTGAAATGATTCCTGTATAAACAAGGGTTTGAGTTTTTTAACTTTTAATGAAAAGTAAAACAGATTGAAATTCCTGTCTGTTGTATTATATTTTTTTAAAAAATTTATTTATGTATGTGTGTGTGTGTGTGTGTGTGTGTGTGTGTTTTGTGTGTGGCCAGCTCAGCCCACCAGGGGGCGGGGCTGGCTGGCATGTGGTGCTGGGGATTGAACTGCGGTCTCTGTGCTTTGCTTAGCTTGTTCTAGATAGGTGCTTTAGATCACTGAGCCATCTCACCAGCCCCCTGTTGTATTATATTTACATCGCAGAAAAGAAATAAACTTGAGCCTACATTTGGGTCAGAAGTAAAGTATCTTTACCTGTCCCTCAGAGTGGAGGTAGAGGACTGGATTCTCTAGGTCTACAAATGAGGGTTAGCACCCGGGTTACTAGAAACTGTATCTCTAAGAATAGTTGATTTTTTTCCCCCAAGAAAGCACTGCTTCTTTTGAAGATTCAGATAATCTGTTACAAACCCTGCACTGAATTAATTTTCTATTTTTTCTAAACTATTTTTTAAAGACTATAAAATAGTGATAGAAAAAAATAACATTAGAAATGATATAAAATTACACTAAACAAAGTAATAGAAATTCAGTAATGGTTGCTGTAATTCTTGATGTTATCTTCAAATAAGTTGTTCAGGTTACCAGATATAAACGTGCAAGATTGATTTAAAGAAAAAAACAAAACAATAACAAAAAAGTTGTAAGAGATTCAGAAGAAAAAGAAAATAATGAGCATAAAAAGAAAAAAAATTAAGCATTAACTGTTTTCAAAAGACCAGCAGAAATTGACAATACAATTACCCAAACTATTCTGCATATATACATAAATACATATTTTCCCTTCTTTCATTTGTCCTTTTCCTCATCCCAGTTTTTCCTTTCCGTTGAGCAAATTCTTTCCCTTTCACAATATCTATTGTACCTTTCAGATTTTAACTACTCTTTCAGGTTCTCACACTAGCAAGATAATATGGTGTTTGCACATGTGGATCTGATTTATTTCTCTTATATAGTCTCTAGTTGTATTTGCATTTATAAAATCTACAAAAGCCTTGAATTTATCTTTTTTATACTCCATTGTGTAAAAATACTGTACCTTTTTTATCCACACTTCAGTTGAAAGGCATTTGGGTTTTTTCCAAGATTTAGCTGTGACAAATTGCACTGCTCTAAACATGGGTGCACATATATTGCTGTGGTATGATGATTTCAGCTCTTTTGGAAAACTACCTAGGAGGGGAATAGCCGGCTTGAATGGGCCCTCCAATCCTAGCTCTTTGAGGAATCTCCATACTAACTCCTGTAATGGCTGTACCAGCCTGCACTCCCACCAACAGTGGAGAAGGCTTCCTTTTTTCCCACAGCCCCTCCAGCATTTGTTATTGGTTGACTTCTTGATGATAACCATGCTTTCTGGCGGAGGATGGTATCTCAGCATTGTTCTGATCTGCATCTCTTGAATGACCAGTGATTTTAAACATTTTTAACATATTTAATGGTCATTGTATCTCTTCATTTGTGAAGTATATATTTATTATCTCAAATACCCATTTTTGGATTGGGTCTTTGAATTTTGGAAGCCTGATTTTCTAAAATTCTTTATATGTTCTAGATAGGAGTCCTTTCTGATGGACAGTCCACTATGATTTTTTCCCAGTTTGTGGGTTTTCTTTTTTCTCTGTTGATTTCTTATGACATGCAGAAACTTTTTTAAAAGATGAGATCCCAGTTGTTGATTCTTTGAGGTATTTCTTGTGTAGTTTGATTTTGTTCATGGTCGCTACCTAATCCTATGTCTTTTAAGATGTCTACCTACTTTCTCCTCCAGAAGATTTAGTGTTTCCGTTTTAATATTTAAATCTTTAATCTATTTTGACTAGCTTTGTGCATGGTGATCTAAACTGTATTTTGATTATTTGTGAGTTCATAAGTTTTTGGGAAAGGCACCAACATGAATGTTCCTTTTATTTTCCAAATTTTCTGATTCTTAATTAAACCCTCCCAGAGCCTCTTTCTTCTAAATATTTGAACTCCTTTCAAATATTATTTTTTCAAGAGTTAGCAGAAGTTTGTTTTTCCACTTTGCCTTCCCTACAAAACCACATTTTGCATTCACTCTGCCTGGCCTGAGTGATGGTTAACAGTTTGTTTTGTTTCAGTCATGTATAACTGAATATTATCTATTGCAATATGAAGTAACTTTGTCTTCAACTTAACTGAGAAGTATAATATATATAAAACTAATTCAGTGCATAGGAATTTTTAGGGAATTTGTGGAGATAATTCTGACTGTAAATTTTTCTTTTATGTCCTAATTTGACAAGTTCATCTCCATGAAAAATACCATACCCTCTAAAAGAATAAAAAGTTATAAAATAATAGTGTTACATTATAGAAGTTAATCACATGCAAGTACTTCTTTCTAAGTAAAGGTAACTTTATCTAGAGATGTTCTTTTTGGGGGGGGGGCGGTACCAAGCGTTGAACTCAGGACCTTGTACTTGCCAGGCAGGTGCTTATTCTGCTGAGCTATCTCCCCGGCCCCTATAGAGATTTTCTTTTACCTCTTCAGTCTTGAATGGAAATTTACTCTAGAAATCATAGGGGCCAGGAATGTAGCTCAGTCACACAGCACCTGCCTGCCAAGCTCGAGGCCCTGAGTTCGATTCCTAGTACAAAACAATAAAAAAGACTCCATAAAGAAATCATGTAAATATATTTACTCACTTTTGCTTTGTCCTTTAATTTTAAATCACTTTCTTATACACATAGGCTTGTCTCTCAGAATGTCTTATTTTTTTTCCTTTATCCAAAAAAAGGCTAGTGTACACATTCCATAGCTCCCAAAATGAAGGAGTCAAAAGAAAAGCTCTAGGGAGGCTGAGACAGGATGATCACTGTGAGTCCAAACTGCATAGCGAGCCCCTGTACCAATAAATTCAATAAATGAAGAGTCTTACGTATTGAGGTTCTTCCCTCAGCCCACTGGTCTTTCTTGGAACGCTTCTAATTGATAATGGTCCCCCTAGGCTGCTCCGTTCTGCTCACTGTGCCTGAGCGGTGTTACAGGGCGGAAGGCTGAGTTGCAAGCTGGCAGCCTGCTCACTGTGTTTACCCTGCAGATCTGTTTTGTGGGGCTACAAAGCAGTTTTTGTTTTGTTTCAGCTTGGTTTTTAGTTACTTTAATTTGTACCAATATGTAAAAATCATAAAGTCTTACCTAGACATCCAGACGTCTGCTCTTGAGAATCTAACAGGGCCCTGAGTACAGGCCCCGTGTCTGTGTCACCACGTGGAGCCGTCGCCTGGCCCCTCTGCTAAGAGGGTGCAGTGGTGAGCTTGGCCGCCATGACTGTCAGTAAAGCTCCTGCTGCTAAAGTCTTTTTTTTTTTTTTTTTTTCTTAAGCATCAGTAAATATTTTCTTTTCCTTCTTAATGAGTTATTAGACTATAAAAGTGCATTTCCCTTCCTGTGGTTCTTTTTCTTAATACCCTGTAGAGAAGAAATTCACCTAGTTTATTGGTTTTTTTTAAACTTATTTGATTAAGTGTTTTTTACTTAACTTTCTAAAAAGTAACTTTTTAAAGTTTAGTCAGTGTTCCATGTAAAACATGTAACCTGCCAGGCGTAGTGGTGCTTGCCTATAATCTCAGCACTCAGAGGGCTGAGGCAGGAGAATCTTTGAGAGTTTGAGACTAAGATGGGCTACAAAGTGAGCTGAAGGCCAACCTGAACTGCATAGCAAGACTCTGGAGGGACAGAGAGAGAGACAGACAGACAGACAAACAGACAGACATGTAACCTGACACATGGACCACATTTCTTCGGTAACAATCCTCATTCTTTGAGAGTGATTGAAAATCTTGATAACTTCACGGATCTCTTTGAAACAAGCAAGGGAATTTAAAGTCTTTCTTTGGCTTCTTCATCAAATATATATTCATCTCTAATGGAAAAGAATGGATAAGGCAGGGGTGGCCATACATGGCCTACAACCCTCTGAGAACTGGGGAGGCTGAGGCAGGAGGACACAAGCTCAAGCCTAGCCCAGCCTGGGTAACTTAGGGACTTAGTGAGGCCCTGTCTCCAAATAAAAAATAGAAAGTGCTGGGAACCTAAGTCAGTGTAAAGACTGAGGCGCTGGGTGCAGTGCCCCCACTACCACAAGGAAGGAAGGAAGGAAGGAAGGAAGGAAGGAAGGAAGGAAGGAAAAGAACGGTGTATTTTGCCTAGAACATTTTATATAAATAAATATTTAAACCACTAGCTCTCCTAAAATCAAATATTCAGCTAACTTCTTTAAAATAATGTATTTACTTGAGGAGAAATTACTTTTTCATGGGCCTTCACAGTTCTAATCATCGTAATAGAAATTACCATATCTGATTGTTAGATGAAAAGAGA